TAAATCAGTAGACAGAGATCCGCGTCTAGCTAATTCGTCTGCTTTTTCATTACCCGTGATGTCACAGTGTCATTGTACCCAACACAACCAATAGCTGTAAGTAAAATTGCTCTACACACGAGGACGTCCTCAGATTTGATGTTGCAAGATTTGATGGCTTTAAGAGCAGCCTGACTATCCACAAAGATAGTCACCGGTTCAACGATCTCTGCATCCAGACTTTTTATCAATTCCGCTGCCTTCCAGATCGTGAAGATTTCAGCTTGGAAAAAACTACAATTGATTTCCGGCTTGTAGGTTAGCTCAAGGCCTAGCCTTTCACAGTAGACTCCTACCCCCGTACCTTCTTCCATCTTGGATCCGTCTGTATAAAAAGCCAGACCGTCCAGAGGAGGGTTGTTACGTTTCCAGTCGTCTCTACTAGGAATAACGACTTCTACATTGTCAAATCTCAGGACTGGTGAGAGTCGCTTAGTTGGTCCAATGTCATACCTAATTCGTTCAGGATAAATAATTTAAATCGATTCAAAGCAAATTTCAATGGGACACTACACTAATTTCAGTACGCTGGCCCATCATCGGGTCTTTGGTGAACCATTTTCTTAAAATCGAACCAAACTATACATAGGAGCTATATCTAAATCTGAACCGATTTCAATGAAAATTTACACGCCTTAGGTTATACATGCTTCAGTACGTTGTGCTAAATTTTGCGACAATCGGGCCAACTTTGGATCTTTGGTGCACCATTTACTTAAAAACCGATGAAGCTATATATGGGAGCTATATATAAATCTGAACCGATTTTTCATTCAATTCGGATCATAAATACTACCTGTAATTTGTTTACAATGGACAGACGGTCGGACGGACATGCATAAATCGACTCAGTAAGTGATTTTATTCACATTCTCAAAAAGATCCAAGGGTCCAACTCGTTTCTATTTGCCTCTTACAAACATATGCACGAAGACATAATACCCAGTTCCACAGTATGGTGAGAGGTATAAATAGAACTAAGGATGAATTATTTAACATTTTAACATTTTCGCGCAAAGGTTTGAATCAGAATTTTCCAACGTGAGTGTCGTAGGTGATTTGGTATTTCCTTTTTGCAAAAATAAAAATCTTCTGGTAGATATCATACACTGTTCCATGAGGTGTATCAGTCCGGGCCAGAGTGTGCCGAACTGTTTATGGTGGATGGCATAAGAAATTCGGCCTGACCCAAATTAACTACTTTTTTATCTGTTTTATTTAATAACTACTGTGTCATTAGCTAAGCTGTTACGATTAATTGTTAATTGTTCTAGTACTTAGATTTTTTTCAGGACTATAAGATTACCATGAACCTCTTCAATGCGCATGCATTTTTATATAACCTACTTCTCTTGCCCTGCAATTGCCATCGATATTAAGTAATTCAATTTATATTCGAATTTTATGAGAAATATAAATAAAACAAACATCAACATTTGCCTTTTTGATGAATGTACATGCACGTGCCTAATACCTGACAGACGCTTCTGCCATCTTAAAACAAAAAAGTGCCTCAACTCTTGTTCTTGGAAAAGGCCCAATTGAATATTAGAGAGAGAGATGCAACATTGCAATAACTTGTGGTTTCAATGTTTACAAATATCTTCAATGCCCCACCATCCCATGGCCTTGTGTATCGGCTTCTCTCGCCTGGAAACGGCCTTCTGTTTGTGATGTCGTTCAAATGAATTATTATTTTCAAACGAATTGTTTTTCGTTTCGTTCATTGAAAATACCAAAAAATTTCATTTTTTTTTTTTGTATTTCTCTTCGAACTGAAAATGGAAATACATTTTTTGCCTCCTGTGTGTGTTTATTTTCGTTTCCACAATGATGTCGATGATGACGTCTGTTTCGAAGAAAAGTCTTCATTAATTTCTTTTTTTGAATAAAACAAATAAATAATTGCATACACATGTATGTATTTACATATGTATTTATAGGAAAATATCTGATTGAAATAAAATATAAACGCTGTACGACGTCACTACAAAAAAAAAAGTTGTTGTGCGATAAATTTGTTCGCAGGTGCCTAAGAATGTTTACGTGAGCATAGATTAAAAAATTTGGAAAAATTATTCACACAGACCGACTAAAAGTATGTTAACTTGAAATGCTAATATGCTTATTTTTTCTTTTATTTGTTGGAAAAGTCCCGATCGGGTTATGTTAGGAAGATACTTAATGTAATCCAAAATTTGATACAAAATTCTGATCTCCAGAAATTGGCCCTTGACCAGAAAGTTCTTTAACCACATCTCATTATAAATACTTGAATCCGATCGATGTTAGTAAAGGTTAAAATTCGTCATATTCAGTCGTTACCATCAATCCTAATTTTATATCCTTAGAACTTATCTGCAAAGACGGTGTGTAGTCCACTAGAAACTTCATCCTACCCGCTATTCCAACTATTCAATTCTAAATTCATCGTCGTCGATAATCCTCGTCCTCCTTACCTCATCAAATATATCGTTAACGATTATACTCAATTCTACACTTATACAATTACCAACTTCAATGATCGGAATATACTCTCTGATAGATTTTGACAGCTATCATTGAACCTGACCTGCATTTTCAATCGTTAAGTTAGAGGTCTCATTTGGTGAAGTATTTAGGAATCTGGAAGAATATCATTCTATGATCCCAAATTACTACATTCAGAAAAATTCCTGTACCTAGAGCCAGAGTCGTCAATGTGACGTCGTCACTATTTGATTGACGTCGATATGTTGCCCCTATTGCATATCCTATGATTATATTTTCATATAAAATTGAATTTGGACTCAACTCGTGTGCGTTGGCGTAACAGCCTAAAAGGTTTATCTTCTGTCCAAGCAGTGAGATGCGTATAGTTTTTGCAACAAAAATCAGTCACCCTATCCTTATAAAGATACAGCTCCTTAACGAGCAGTTCAGCTGCTGCAGTCTTGCAATTATGCGGATTAACCTACATCACACTTGTTACTGGTCAATGGCATTAATTGTTAAAGAAGTCCGAGGGCTCCTTAGTTCTACATTTAATAACAATGACCCCTTTGTACAAGATGACCTGGCCAAACTGTAGGTTCCGACGATCAACTTCTTTGTTCAAAAAGTGTTCTTCGATGCTCCCATCGGGATCAGCTCGATCAATGAATCCCACTCGTAGTTCTTCAGGAGACCCTCGTTGGACAGTATCTGAGGACTACATCCTCTTCACAGTAACTAGTTTTGTTAGAGGTTTGGTCCCCATATTTTCAGCTGCAGCATAAGTCAACGTAGCTATCGCAAGCAACTACTACTTTAGGTTTATCCAGCAAAGTTGATCTTTTAGCATAGTCCATTTATCTCTATTTCCTACATTTAATATGCCTTGTATGGGTTCTAATATTAATACCAGTAGCATTCGATTATATACATGCTTGGAATATTTTAACCTTGGTTTCCCTGGATATATGTTAGCTTTTCCGTTAATTTTGTAGTCGTCCGAATGCTGCTCTTGCTATGTTTAGTCTATTGAAGCGGTTCGGCCATTCTCTGTTCGCTCATCAAAATGAATTATGAACTAGTTCCATAAGAATCATGTATAAGAACACAGACATGAACTACTGTAGCAAAAGGAACATGTAAGCGAAAACCCGCTTACATGTTCATGTACATGTTAAGTAGCTCGTCGAATACAGAAACAGAAAGAGGAAGACCCGTAGAGTGAGAAAGGGAGTTCTCCAAGGGGGATTGTCTCTCCAGAACTGTTCAACCTTTACCTCTCTGATATTCCAAAACCGATCGTAATGTATGCGGATGAATGTTCGATCATGGCATCCTTTATGTGGGTGTATAAACGTCTATGAAAATATCCACCAACAAATTCACTTGCCAACTTTTCGCCAATTGGACGACAGAAATGAAGCTCTCGTTGAACATAATGGTGGATGGAGAGCTGATTCTGACCACCAAGTACCACAAAATATATTCTGGCCGCGGAGGCCACTGCTGTTTGCTATAAGCTGAGAAGTAGGAACAAGGTTCTCCAGTAGCTGGACGTCAGCACTTGGTGTGCCGACAAGGAGACCGTTATAAAGCAATAGACCGGTCAGTGATTAGATATGCAGCGAAGAGACCTGCCACAATTCCGCTCTTCGAACTGCAAAAGGGAGTCTTCTCATGACGCCAATGAACCATCTTCATGAGGAAACGAGGCTCATACCCGTCCATCGGCACAATCAAATGGTGTCGATGCAGTACCTGCTTGGACGTCTGGAACACGGCATACTCAGCTTTTCAGGAGGCTTTCTCCATACAGGCACATGAGGAATGATCTTCATGATTTTTGGAGTGCTCAAGCAAGCCTGAGTAGCATTCATACTGATTCAATCGCCCAGGCAGTAGAACAATAGCGTATGAGTGTTGTACTCGAAGACCATCTACCATCCAAATCAGATCAGCGGAGAATTAGTTGCCTATACAGACACGAGTAGTCTTAGCACAGTTATGATCTGGATGGTACAACCGACCCAATTCCTACTGGGCACAATACACAACAAATGCCGAGCAGGTGGGCTAGGCCCACACTATACGTTGCACTTATTCAAGCTGTCACCTGTCACCGAAATATCGATGGAAGAGGTCTATACAGGTTGAAACCTTGCTGAATTTGGACACAGAGGAGCTCATAACATATATGCTTCAACCAGATGACTATGGCATATTATTAAATAATATTAGAACTTATGTTCTGGAATTTCTCATATCTAATATTCCCTTAATTAATATTGAAAATAAATATGATTACAACAACACCATATGTAATTATAAACATGATGTTGTTGATGTTTGCTAATAAATGCTAAATACATCCCCACCCACATAATTAATATGATAAATATAATATTGCCACGGATAATAATATTTTGAAATGTATCCAATGCATGACAAAACTTTTCTTCCAATACGTTAATCATATTCAAGCCTCGAACATGAAAGGATCCATCAAACTTACACCATCGGAACAGTTTGAGAAGTTCTTGGCTGTTGTACAGACAACTGCCAACATACTTGGTGTAAATGTTATAAGTCCCGCTTATCGCATGAATTGGGCTACCGCGCTTATCTTATGCTTGATAGTATCCTATATCAGCTTTACATTGTACACGCTTTATATTGGCGTGATCGCTATGCAGTCCTTCACATTGGTTCTGCAGTCTCTGTGTATTACGGCCGTTGGAACGCAGGTGAGTTGTGGTGGAAAGTCATGTATATCCTTCAAAGTCCAAGAGATCGAATCCTCCTTTTACCCACATACACACAGGTGGTTAACAAATTTGTGAATGCGGTTACCTATCCAAAATTGATACGTTTTGTTTGTGATGAACTGAGGAACATCTACAAGGAATACGAATGCAACATAAATAAACGTTATAGTGAAACCTTGAAAGATACTCTGGCCGTGGTGAAAAAATCAATTTGGATCCTCTTCATAATCAATAACATTTTGATGGCAAGCGTTCTGGCGGTACCATTTTACTATTCAATTGTACGAAATGAACACATCGATATGATCCAGCTGGTCGTACCGGGTGTAGATAAGAATGGCCCCAGCGGCAGATATATTTATCGTTTATTTCATTGCTGCTGTCTGTTTTGCTCCACGTTTGGCTCGTTCGCCTATGACACGTTTGTAATTCTATTCGTTCTCCATATACCGCTGACGAAGAATATTCTCAAGTTGAAATTTGATGACTTGGATGAAGTATTGGAAGTGCCTGCCAAAAATCGAACGGCGAAGACGGAACCATTGTTAAAGGATATTTTTCAGTGGCATCGAAAATATATAATGTAAGGACAAGAAGTGAAAACGCGGTTAAGTTCGGCCGGGTCGAATTTTTTAATATCCTCCAGCATGAGGAGGACATTCAGTATACATTAAATCGATTTGGTAAATTGCTGCCAGGAGAAAACAAAACACCACAATGGGAAAAATTGACTAAAATACCGAAAATCCAAAATATAAAAAATTACAATCAATTTGGTTGAGAAATGCGTCCGAACTCTCCAAAATACGGAAATTTGGAGGTAATGTCATATGGAAACTGCCCTAAATAATTAACTAATATTGTTAAGTTGGTAAATTTTCTACTCAATTAGAACCTACGCTATAAAAGTACAACTATTTCGGTTGAAGTTTGTGTACCGTTATACGGGGACCGATATATCCCATTGGCAATACCAAACACCATAGAAGTACATGCAAGAGCTTTACGTTATATATTGCGGTCTCTATGACTAAATCGACAAATACGATCCTCGTTATGGAGGTTATAAAAATATAGTGTAAAACACACATATTCGAACATCACTTCCAAATCGAATATATATCGGAACACGATCGTTTCCAACCTCACACAAACGGCAATTATTTATTACATTAGAATAACATTTGGAATTGAGAAAGCTGGTACTGGGGATTTTGCCAATATAATAGACAATAGATAGGACTGAATCTCAAAATTCTTGCAAGATCTTAAATATAAACGCCAATTATCAACGTAAAGCCTTTATGAGGCCACATTGCCTAATATGCCACTTGGCCAAGAAATTGAGTTCTATTATGTTCAGTTGCCAGTTCAGGATTTTTCCAGTGTTTTTTTTCCATTCTTAGGAATTGATTCATGGCGGCTCGAGGAGCCAAGACACTTGTCAGATAGTAAATTCTGTTTAAACAGTAGCCTTACGACATATTTACCGCCTGGCCCTTTCAGAAAAAGTTTTCTCGTTAGAGGTGAATTCTAATTCCCAGAATTTGTCAACTCTTCGTTCAATGGATCAACGGTTGTCGTCCAGGATGTACACGATATAACGTTCTGAGAAATTGGTTTGCCACTAATTATCCACCTAAATTCCGTGCTTTGAGCCATACCATACATATTCTTTTCCAATCCATGAATTCCTTTTTTATTGCCAAACTTCGATCATTAAGTTCAACTCAAAAGAGAACGCCTAAAAAACTACATAATCGGCATAACCTGTAACATTTATTTTGAGATGGTCAAACTCCACCACGATCTCACTTATCCCCTGGAGCCAAATTTGTACCCTTCCCTGTGTTGTAGCGTACGGAACTCTCCCCAACCTATATATTAATCTCTAAGAACGCCGCCATCTCTAAAAATTCACGTCTCTCTCAATGTGTTCGACCACCTGATGTAAGACAATATCCCCTGATCTGTAATTTTCTTATTTCGCAGATGTGCTTATCGGCTTATGGTGTTTTGGTAAGGTATGACTTGGTTTCCTGTCATATTAACATTCTTCCACAGACTTGGTATCAATTTTAAACGCGTACAAAACCTAAAAATCTATCTTAGCGAGGTAAATACCCGGTTAGCCATGTGTTGCAAATTAACTGATATTATAACAACTGGTCCCCGAAATTTAATAAGCTGAAAATCAGACATTTTTCATCCTCTCATCCGCCACCTCTTTTAAGGTGGTCCGCGTACTAGAGTTGAATCGTTCCGGAACGAACTAGTTCAATGGAATTATTCATCTAAACGAACGATCGGTACTAATCGTTCCTTTACTTCAGTAGTTCTTTTTGGTCATCTTTCACGTAGTTACATTGATCCAATCGTTCATCTAGTTTTTCCCATTCATTGACCTAACCAATCATACATTTTTCATCCTTCACCTCTTTTGAGGTGGTCCGCGTACTAGAGTTGAATCGTTCCAGAACGAACTAGTTCAATGGAATTATTCATCTAAACGAACGATCGGTACTAATCGTTCCTTTACTTCAGTAGTTCATTTTTGTCATCTTTCACGTAGTTACATTGATCTAATCGTTCATCTAGTTTTCCCCATTCTGATGTATACCACCAACTGATGTATACCAATGAACGATTGAACTAAAAGAACTATGGAACTAAATGAATAACGTAGTTTCTTTTGTGGAACGAACCAAAAAAAATCGAACCTTTTCAGGAACGAGATTGTTCAACTCTACCGTGTACCATCAATTCTTTCAATACTATTTATGGATTTGACGTCCTTAAATATTACTTTCCGAAATCTGACAGCTTTATTTACTCTTTCAATTTACTCACTAATGCACTACCAGGAATTGCGTTTAATCTTCCTGATATCCCTGTTCACGCAGCAAACGGCGATTCCAAAGGTCTAACAGCATGGCTTCTGTTCAAAAGCAAAATTTTACTTGCCACACCATTCATTGATACGAGAAGGTAGCTTGACTACGAAAGTGTCAGTGGTATTCGATGCGTCTGCGAAATCCACAAATGGAATCTGCAAACAATATTTGACAATTCGTTCATTGCTTTCTCAAAATCCATAGACGTTTTGAGATCATATTGACCAACGGATGCATATCCGTGGCAATATTCGTGACAAAACATTCGTTCTTCGGGAATATGTTGCGAATTCTCCATTCAATTTGCTTATTGTTGAAGCCACATTGCCATTGATTTATAGTGCGTTTAAATTGAACCTGATTTCGTTAAACCAGTGAGTTTAAATTGTCAATTCTATTGTATATATGTCAAATCAATCCGCATAAAGTAGGCTAACCCGGTAAAAAGATCTAATGTAAATGCCGTTTTATTCCTCTATGTCGTAAAAATTATTCCATCTGAAACAAATATTCAACATTTTTTAATCCATTGAAATATAAATTTATTTAATTTTTAGAGAGGTGTTCGAATATGAGACTGTGTATCAATACGTAATGTCCAAATGCTGAGTATTACGTAATTATAAATTATTTTTATTATAATTCTATGTTTTGTTTCCCTTCTCCTCGTACTTCCAGTTTAGTAGAATCAGTACACGTTCTATTTTTCTGGATAATTTTTGTACAAATCGGTACGGCCACATTTGGCATTATTTCCGCTCTGGTTTGTCATCTTTTGCACATATGGCCAGTTTCTCCTGTCTATTTGGTCTATTCGTTTGTGGTCTTGTATCTATATTGTGCTCTTGGAAATGTCGTGAATACTGCAGTTGAGTATAAATGTTGAAAATTTAAGAATTCACCTTCGTATAGAAGCGCTTTTTATGATTTCGCTTTATAATTTCAGAATGATGACATAACCGTCGCTATATACGATTGTAAATGGTATGAATTGTCGGTACCGGAACAGAAAATGTTACTCACCATGTTGAGGATGTCACAGAGTCCAACCACTATGACAATTGGTAGCGTGATGCCATTAAATTTGAATACAGCCTTGCAGTTAACAAAAACTATTTACACAACTGCTATGCTTCTAAATGAATTCATCAAGTAATTCTCTTTGGAGAAAAAAATGCAACGATGTTATGCAGAACTAGAAGGAAGGAAATTTAAATTTGGAGGACAATTATTAGAATATTACGCACCGATATTGCACACAGTTATTATATAGCACATAATATGTCACATGCAAAATAAAATTAATCTGGAACATAATATACAATGTTTTTAAGTTCTCTATGAAGCAATGCTAAAAAGTATTGGAATGCTTTCCACTGAAAAAAATAATTCGTATATTATATGAATAGTGTTCAGAAAGTGTTGCAATGACGGGATTTCTGCATTTTATGAATACAATCCATAAATACGGTTTTCTTTTCTGAGAGAGAGAGAGAGAGAGAGAGAGAGAGGCAAAAAAACAAATTGGGAGGGTGCCTGCTTGGTGGAGGTCTGGCACAGAAATTATTTGTCATTTTAACTTTTCTATTTTGATTTTATGTTTTATTCTTCTTCTTCTTCGTTATGTTCATGCTCTGCGTCATTAGAACAACCATGTACAATGATAAACATTCGTTGTGAGCTTGTTGTTCGCATCAATACTTGTTTGATATGTTGTATTTAGCAGTTATATCGAAATAATTTGGAAAATACATATGCGAATTTTATAACAACAAAGCAGATTTCGTCAATCGCAGTCAGTGAATGAAAAATCAGTAAAAGTAGTCAAATAAAAGTTGAAAAATAAGAAACACCAAGTAAGGGAGAGGCAAAGGACGATATCAAAACACAGCCGAACAGTGAATGGTGGTGGTGTTTTCATTTTCTTAGGAATAGTTATATTAGGTTGGGGAAAAATCCATTAGGCCGGTTGTCAAAAAGTCGATAAAATAGGAGAATTGATCGAAGTTGACCGGCATGTTAGCAGTCGTAACATCGCCCAGGACCATAAATCGACCATAAACTGTTTCAAACAAAGCTGGTTTCAAAAAGAAGCTCGATGTTTGGGTGCCACACCAATTAACAGAAAAAATGATGGATCGAATTTCTGTCAACAACTGGGTCGTTTGAAGATAGAAATTGACCTGAAACGGTCAGAACGCTAGGCTACACACATCTACAGTGACTCGTCAGAAACTTTGGGAGCTTGGTTGGGAAGTTTAATACAGTCCGGACTTGTCTCCAAGCAATTATCATATTTTTCCTGCATTGCTAAATTTCTTTAATTATAAAAAATTGAAAATCGTCTACTAGAGTTTTTTGGCAAATAGAGAACAGGACTTCTATGAGAGACGCATTATGAAGTTATTTTTAAAATGGCAACAAATCGTACAACAAAACGGAGCA